AAGGTTTTGCACTGTCTCTTAGCTAAAGCTGGGAAATCTATGGTGGAAGGAAGAGAAAGGAAAAAAAAAAAAAAAAAGCAAACAAACAAACAAACAAAAAACTAATTCTACAATACCTTCTTGTTCCCTTTCATCAGATCTTCCACTGCAAACGAAAGCATATCCAGATAAGAGAAGTATAAAATAAAATAATACGTTACCATTATTTTTTCTTCAGCATCAAAGAGTACTACATAACAAAACGAATTGAAAAATAATTCTTCTCTTCAATTCAACAGTTATAAATAGATAGATATATATCTCCAGAAATAAGAGACATTAAAAGTCAGGGTAGTTAAAATAAGTAAATTGCATTATATAAATTACAGCCCATTAAGCAACTCACAGCCCAATGCAAATGACCATTTACTAAAGGAAAATATTACCATTGATTATTATTTCTTAAATAAGAAGCAAATAAAAAGGTATTATTTAATACTGCTGAAATCATATAAATAAGTAAGTTACCTTTACTAATAACCTAAGAGCCTCCAAAACACCTAGAATGAAGAGCAGAAGTCAGAACAGCAGCATTCAAACTAGGTTTGGGTCTCAAGCAAAATAAATAAATAAAATAAAATTAGAAAGTAAGAATAAAATGCTATTTTCTATTCACTGTGAGTGACACCTTGCATATGTCTTTTTCCCTTTTGAGCATAGGTTATGTTACAAGAAGTAGTACACTCAGGCTAGAGATGTAAGGAGAAATGCAGGATCATGTAGCTTAGCCAGACTCTTCCTCAACCCCTTACTTCTGGAAAACAGAATGAGTTGACAAGTTTCTTAAATAGTTTATTATATAGTTCATACCCCACCTTAAAAACAAACAAACGAAACTGTTACATTAAATGTACAAGTTTTTCATTTTAATGCTGAAATAGTATAAACATCCTATTGTGTTACTCCATCTTTGAGAGGAAGTCTTGGTGGCTAACTGCTGCTTTTGAGCCAGCAGAGGGAGTATAAAGCATTGTTTTTTTGTGGACTTCAAACCTGAAAGTGAATGTTTCTTTTCTAATTTTCCATCTACTATTTTTTATTATTATTTTTAGAACATTACGATTGCACCTTCAATGCTGAAAGCACCTTTCTATGTCTCATGAGTACAGCTGTAAATTAACACAGTCATATTGCTGTATGGTAAACAACTTTTAGTACCTGGAACCAAGGCAGACACAAGCAGGTAATTTCACTGAGACAAGACATAAAATATGCCAGGGCATCGTGTATCCCCAAAACATACCTTCATATCATCCTTACTCAGTGGAACAACACACGCTTATGAACAGCAGCCACAGGAAAAAAAAAAAGAAAAAAAAAAAAAAAGAAAAAAAAATGCTGTTTTCCAAAGGGCATGTTTGTACATATACACGGATCCAAAACACCTGTGCCCAAATGTCTACAAAAAGGGTGTGATCTGGATGTTGTGAGAATTAATTAGCTAATGAGCCTGATCTTCCTGTCATTACCTAGGTAAAATTTCCATGTGTCTCAAGCCTAATAACTGTAAAAGTTTTTGAAGATGAAGCATATGACATTTGTGCTACATAACAGCTGACAACAGTAGGGACTGTTTGCCCCCAAATTCCAGCTTTTTCCTTGTATGAAAGAGATGAAAACTGTGTGTTAAGCTCTTCCACACACTAAAAAGTCCATACAAAGGACTCCAGAAAACTTCAAGACAGAGTCAATAAAGGCCTTTTCTTTTCCTCATGATTCTCATTATCAGATTCTCACAGAATTGAATCCTACTTTACCATGCCTTTAAAGAGACTCTTGTTAAAGGGAATAGCAGCACTCAGCATTTTATAGGTTATATTCCTAAAAAGGGCACTCATTGCAAAATCTAGCAGACAGACATGTCCCTCACTTCCCTGATTCTCCCTAAAAGAGTCTGGAACCATAAAGCTTCCGGGATCAGATTTTCATAAGCTGAGGCCTGTAGGTTGTAGAGGATCTTCTCATGCACAGTTACTGCTATTGAATATGTATAGCTGGCTTTTGTACATACAAATGGAGCCTGTATGCCTGTGCATAGCTCAAAGCAGAAATCTAAACAGCTATACCAAAATACACATGGACCTCAGTTTTGATTTTATGAAGTGAAGGGGAAAGAAGTAGGTGATGGGAAAAAGATGAAATTCAGACCTCATCAAAGTCAAGGGTAGTTTTCCTATAGACTTCAAAAGAGTCAGAACTTCATCTGTTACATTTATGTGCTTCAGAACCTGAAGATATGTTCAGAAACAGGTTTCACCCTCAATTCATTTGGCAGCCCAACTTCTTCCTGGTTGAATAGTGGAAGCACTGACAAGAATCTCTAAGGAAAATTGTGCCGTGATCTAAATCAGTAGTCCCCAATTTTTCTGACTGTCTGGGCAACATAGTTCCTTCTACAAGCCAGTGAGAGCTTTATACTCCTGCACTTACCACTTGTATAGCCTGAGGTAGAGCATACATGCCAGTCCATTGGACTGGCATGCAAAGTAGCACAGTGTTTCACAGATGAATATGTTACGCAGTTTGTTCCCAAGCTGCCCCTGGAAAAGGGGACGGCTGAGAGCAGGCTATGAGCTGGATAGATTGAACTTGCAGGCTGTGGTTGGCCTATACCTTGCAGAATGTGTGTTTTTCCTGTAAGTTCTCGTTGTTCATACAGATCTGACTAATAACTATTAACCGTCCTTCAACAGTCTTTTACACCTTTCTTTTGGGAAGAGGGAACTTGCAATTTTGGGAAATGCGAGAAATGTTCCCTTTTCCTCTACCCAAATTTAGTTGTAGTCTATGCAAGTACAGCATCACTGATAATGCTGGAGTTCTGTATTGAGCAAATTCCTGGCCACCCTAAACTTGATGGCAAAATCTCTGTTGACTTTGACAGAGTCTAGGTTTCACAACAAAATGTTAAAGGAGTATGACCACAAGACTGAGGCAAAGGCGAAGTAAAAGCAAGAATGCCTTCTCCACTGCAAATCAGAGATAGCACATGGTTCTCTGTGACTTTAAAGCAATAAATAAATAAACACATAAATAAATCAAATGGACCCTCCTATGGGACAGCTACTAGTACTTGGCCCTTTCTTTTACCATCTTCTCATATAAAGACACCCATCCAGTTGCCCTTTCTGCACGCTTGACTGTCCAGTTAAGCTTCTCTGTCAGCCTTGCTGTCACTACTCTTTCAGCACACTATGTCTACCCTCCTGCCATCTTTCTGTCACTTTTCAGAAGGCATAATTCACAGCCTTAGCTCACAGGCCTGTTTGTAAATCAGAAGACAAATATTTGTCATACTTGCTTCTTGTCCCCCATTAAAAATGAGCTCTGCTAAGAAGGAAAAGCCTGTCAGGATAGTACTGACACTGGCTTTCTCTGCCAATGATGTTCACAAACTTTTTTTTTTTTTTCCCTGCCTCTCTAAAAAGCTGAAAAGATTTAAGAAGTGAATGATTCAGCTCTTCTGTGGAATTAATATACATATTCTGTAATGGATTTTCAAGTGCCTTCCTACATGTGGGTCAGTGAAGAGCAGAGTTTCTTTGTTGCTTGTTTTGTTTTGTTTCAGAGGTCTAATAGTGTCCAAGCAGACACTGCACTGCAGGGCAAAGGCAATACCAAACTTGCTACCCATGCATTTTTGTTCCACTCCCCAGCAAAAAAGACACACCCAAAAACTCCCAGTTGGCAGAATTATAAAACTATTTTTAATTTTAACAGCAAAATGCTGCCATACACACTGCATGAGCAGACTGTGGTTGTTATAATGTGACAAACAAGCATGTGCAATTGTTGATTACAGAAAACAAGTAAAACAGGCTATACAGTGAAATCTTGCCATCATAGATTCCCAATTTGTGAAGCTTTTGCAGAATATGGATAACCCCTGACTTCCACATGGAGGTGGACTCCCAGAGGATGGAAGTTAGCAATGGTAAATCACCCCAGCTGAATATCTCCTCAGTGTAATATACTGTTTATTTATCCTGCTGCAAATGTGTTCTAGGAAATTGCCAAACAGGAAGGAGATCCTTGCCTGAAGTAATTTGCAATCTAAAGACTGGATCCTATGAAAGCATCTGTTCTGAGGTTTTGAACAGCTTTTACTCCCATAGGATTTCAAAAGGTATTCAGGAAGACCATGTCTTACAGCATGCTGTAAGGTTTGGCTAAAATTGCCTGCAAACTACTCTGAGGCACTTAGCATGTCTGTGTTAACCTGGTCTTTAAAATATGGAAGAAGTGTGCTGTGAATAGGTGAGATGGAACTAGACGCACAAGGAGATGCAATTCTTTTAACAGCTGCATCCCTTATTGCAAATGTAGGATAGACAATGACAGTATTCCAAAAATAAAAAAGATGCACAAATCATCCTTCCTGTGGCCCATGAACACAGAGCTGCCAGAGTAGATGTGTTAGTGCAATGGAGTAAACTGTGCTGCATATAGATCACAGACTTAAACCTTCTGCCATACACCTCACTTCTCATGACAATTTATTTCACTTAAATGCCTCTTGGTCATCCTTAAGCAAACAAAAAGGTTCTTTTTAATAGATGCTGTGGTAAAGAAATAAGAACATACATCCAGTGCTATGTTAATAAGGAAAATTTAATGCTGCTGGGGATCAACTAGCTCCTTTTCTCCTTAATTAATGTTTCAGATAGCCCAGACTTCCAGAGAAGAAAAAAAATAATAATAAAAAATCCTTACCTCTGTTTCTGGTTTTGCTGTCAGTCTTTTGAACAGTTACATTTCTGGATGGTTTACAACGTTTCAGTCATAGTGCATGGTCATTGCAGAATATTGCAAAGCATATTTAACCTCTGCCTTTTATTTCCTAAGCACCATCAGTGCCATGCACTGAATATATCATCAGAATTGGGCATTGCTAAATGACAATACTAAGTAGTCTAATTCTAATACATATGGATTTTAGTTAGTTAGCATATGCTAGCTACCTTAAGTGATGGCAGGAAAGGAAAGCTCCAAGGCTGAAATCAGGTCCAGGCAGGTGGGTTCCCACAGGGGCTTGATACAAACATAAATGCTGACCCATGCAGATCCAACTACAGGAACAGAGGGTATGCTTGCAAAGGCCTCTGGGTGAAAAAGAAAAAAAAAAAAAAAAAAAAAAAGGGTAGGGGGGGAGAAGCTGCATTTAAAAGTTAATGCATCCTATGTATCATTAAGCACACACACTGCATATGATGATGTGTCATGTGTGATGATATATCAACACTGCTTCTATCAGATAGGTAAAGGCAATGAGTGCTGCCTGTATAAAACACTAAGTATGGCACAGATGTCCAGATTTGCCTATGGCAAGAAATTTCAGTAATTCTCAGGTGCAGGATTTTCATTCCTAAATAAACAGATCGACTAAGCCCAAGACATCTTTTTGAATTCCAGGATACAGCGTTCCTGTGAGAGATGAGGATTAGAGCAAACTTCTCTCTGCAATCTATGCAGATTGCACTCCTTGCTATGCAGAAAGCAAGGGATGAGTTATCACAGCCATCAGAGCAAATGCAGAAACCAGTGGGAATGAGGAGATAAAAAGTCAAAGCACAAAGATTGGCCAATACAGAAAGAAGTGTTGTAACTGCTAAATCACCCAAGCTGCTTTGCCAAACTTTGACATGCTTGGTTTCCTGTGCTTAAATAATTTTTAGGCTTTAAAAAAAAAAAAAAAAAAAAAAAAAAAAAAAGGGTGTGGGGGGAGGAAAAACAACCAGCTGTTCCTTGTATAGTCCAGGAAACACGTCTGATTTATTGTTTTAAGGTTATTTTTGAAGGGGCTGCCTCTGGCAGCCAGAGTGCCGGAGAAGTCACTGAGGCCTGTCCACTTGAAGGGCTCAAACTGTTTCCTGAACAGCCCTTCTTCACTCGTCACCTCCGACAGCTCTTATTGACAACGTGTGACTGGGGCCTGGGAGTATTTTAAAGCCGCGGGGGGCCAGGGCAGACAATGGGGCTGTCAATTACCTTTTCCCCCGCCGTGAAAAGGGGGCCGGGGGACAATGCGCCGCGGCGGCGGGGGGTTGTGCGGCTCGGGGCCGGCCACCCCCCTATCCCCCTGGCCCCCCAAGCCCCCTACATCCCCCAGCCTCCCCGGCATTCAGAGGCGGCCCGCGGCGGTGCCTCGGCCCGGCTGAGAAGCGGGCAAGGTGTAAGGAGCTCCCACGGCGAGCTCCGAGGGGGCGGCGGCTGCTCCGCGCCCCGTCGGGGCCGCCCCCTGCCCGGCGGAGCGGGTCCGGGGGGGTGGGGGGATCGGCCGTGCTGCCCGTACCTATATTGTGCACTAAAAACTTCCTGCGAGCCTCGACGGCTTGCTGGGAGGACTGTCCATCATACAGGCGCTTTGTCTGGCAGTCACTTCCATTTGAATTTGACTGACTGAGGAAGGCTGAGTTATTTGTAAAGAACAACAAGGCTTTTCATTCATAATTTCAGTAGGGGGACAGGGTGCTAATGACTGAGCTTGAATAACCAGGGAATGCGGTATTCAAGGCAGGAAGAAGCCCAACTGGCTGCCAAATGAGAGGAAGGGAGGGAAGGAGGGGGGGAGATGTAGGTGAAAGTGCCCGTGTGAAAAGGCAAACAATGAAATCAGGATCACACACATGTATACAAATACAAATCAGGCTCTCAAAAGGTGAGACAGGCAAAGATAGGAGCAGGAAGGGGAGCTGAGGAAATTCCAGTTTGGATTTCATTCACTTGCCTTCGGAATCCGCTTCTGCAATTCTAAAACCGAGAAGGTCTCTGCGAAAGGAAGCATTCTTCCTCCCGCCGCCCCCTTCGCCACAGAGAAAATGCTTTAGCTTTCCTATTCCTTTTTGCTACCAAAACTAACTAACTAAATAAATAAGTCGGTTTTGAAGTTGGGTTGAATGAAGATTTTGCCTTTGGTACTTAAGCTCTAGCTTTGACAAAACATGAAAGCACTAAAGCTAGCCTGGGTTGTGGCCCAGCATGTACAATCACTATATATTTTTTCACTCGTTGACTGTCTAAATACATCTATTCTCTGACTCGGTGAAGACTCTGTTTTCTCAAATGTCAAGCTGTACCTGATGCAAAACCTTTCAAACTCACTGATCTTTATTTCAATTGTCTTCAGTAGAATTTTGAAGAAGGCATTCACAGAAATTTCCTTGGCTATGACAGATTTTATAGAACCATAATTTGGGGCCATGTGGAGAAAACAAATCTACAGAGCTAAAAGAGAAAATAAAAATTGAACAGCATGTACTTTGGAAAACATAATTGCCTTGACACAACTTAAATAATCAGAAGTTGATATAATTTATGTTAATTTGAATTGTGTTGCAAGCAAGTAACAATAAGAAAACTTAGAATTCGTTATACAGCTTAAACACGTAACCTCAAGAATGAAGGAAGTTTTCCAGGGGGGTTATTTTGCAAGCTCATACTGTCAAATGCAGTAGATTTACTGTGCATGTTTGCACTGCCATTTTCCATGTTTCTTTTAGCTCTCTTAATTAGGACGCCATCCTGGGAGCCGCTCTGGGCAGATGGATCCCTTCCGCGACCTGGAGCACCAGACTTTCACTTGAGCTTCAGAAGGTATCAGGGGCCTGCATAGAAGAAACAGCTCAGAGATTTGGCTTCTCGGTTAACTTCTGCCTTTCCCTCTGTGGGGCTTTTGAAAGTAATAGGCCTGCTTAAAATACAGGAAAAGATGATTACAAAACCACAAATAAGATAGGAGTAACTACACCAGATGTAGAGACGGAAGTTCAGAGGAACTCTTTAATCAAGTAGTGGGAGTGGATGCTCCTGAAGAGATAACCTTGTTTAGATAATCAAACATTTTGTCCTCTTCCTTCTCTTAGTCAGATAAGTATAATTATAATTATCTAACTGTTCTGAATCTCTTTTAAGGTGTTTTGATTCTATTAGAGACAAATCTTGAAATTTTAGTTGTGCAAAAGATCCTGGAGCCCCTAGGGAACACAACTCTATGAGTCTTCTTGTAAAGCAGCATTTGTGGAGTGGACAGATTGGACTGGGATCTGGGACTCCTACATCTCACTTTTCAAATAAGTTATTTCTTTCTTTTACTCCTTGTTTTTCTCATCTATAAAACAGACATAGTGACATCTCTTGTAAATTATATTGAGATTTGCATGGAAAATTGTGATAGAATACTCAGCATTTCAGTTATAGTTCTTGATATTGCCATTATAATCAGGAGAGTGAAGACAGTCCTATGCAGATCTGACATCAGGATATTTAGTGATTTTTTTTTTTTTTTTATTGACGCAACAATCATTCCTTTTGATGCAACATCATTTATCTCTTGCAAATGATTCTATACTGCGTATGTCACCTCCACTTACAGGATGTTCTTGTGTGCCACTGCGATGAACACAAACATTTCACAACTGAGGAAAAAAATAAATATCAAGACATGGGAGAATGATGATACAATTTTTAACAATTGCTCAATTCACTTGTTTTGGTTTGCAGCAAACCTGTAAGTCTTACTTGTACATATCCTTTGGCTGGCTTGCAAACTATATACTACCAATTGCTAATCTCTGACAGTTACTTGTTTGAAATCCAGCCTCCAGTAAAAAAAGGTAGCTTACATTCTGGGAGCTGCATAGCTGTCACAGCATAAAGACCCATGAGATCTACCTTGCCCTTCCAAGAAGAGCAGACTCCCTGCACTCTTCCAGCTACATTGCTTGAAGTACACAAGAAATTCATTTACCTTTCCACTACATTGCAGTTTAGAGCTAGTTTGTGTATCTCTACATCAGTGGTTTTCTCACTGTGATCTGTGGATTCTTACAGACTACTTCTAAATGGGAGGTCTTATAATTTATAATTTTCTTAAAAAAAAAAAAAAAAGTGTACACTTCATTTATGATATTTTTCCTCTTCCAAATCATAGAAAAAGTCTATAAGTTGTAGAGGTTTAAAAACAACTGCTGCAAATTGTACCATAGCAGAAATACAATGTCTTTTCATAAAATCTTATTCCGAAATTTCCCTTAACTGCTAATATTTACCTCTTCCATTTCTTCCGAGTCACTTGAATCTCAGGTCAACACACAAATGTCTACATCCTGCTGAAAAATATTTTGGGAATTTCCAAGCTAGCACACTTACTTATTAATATTTTAATAGGCAATTAGTTAGTTTTGCATAAAATTCTAGTATAGTCAAGCCCAGAGTTATCTAGCCTCTAATTTAAATAAAGCTAGACAGTGCAGCATTTAAAATACTGACAGACATGGCTTGTCTGTTCTGTCATTCTCATGATTTCAACCACAGCAGTTGAAAATTTTAGCAGGAAAATCATAGGACAAACAAATACAAAATAAAAAGCATGCCATAAATCCAGTCTACCAAATAAATTATACCTAGTCTTGCCCATGCCAAATTGTTCTACTTTGGAACATTTGGTCTCAAGGTCCTAAAGAAGGGAACTAATTATAAAATCAATTGTATAAACTGGAAAGTTTTATAAAGTTGAATTCCAAAAAAACAATGCTGATTTTATCAAGGATACAAATATAACCAAATAATATTGAATGGCACATCAAAGAACATACTAGCTTTATTAGAACAATTTATATGCAAAACTTCTACATTATATTATAAATACTAAATGTACACACTCTTTAGTGTAATTTCAGAAGAATCGGGAAAGGGATTTGTTTATTTTTTTTAAGTTTACATAAATACATTTGTTGTATTCAACAAGAAAAATATTCTCCTGGCAACTGTCCTTCCATGTACCAGAGCAACTATTGGATGGGGTGAAGTTTCACAGTATCTGGTCTATATCACCTTTAAGGAAGCAGGCAATTATTAGCCATATCTGAATGACAGTAGCTTAATCCCAGAAGATCTGCCCATCACTAACAGCAGGAGACCAACTTTCAGTAGATGCAGACCATGCATATTCCAAACCCAAGTAGCATTTATTGTTTTTCACATGTAACAATGCTGTTCCTTGTCCCACCAGAATGAGTTCCCAGTAGCATGCTGAATGTATTGCCTTCACTAATTTTCTAGTCTTAAGGAATTCTGGGATGTCTCCTGAGTAAATTA